TGATGGGTTGAGCGTTTTTTTTTTGCTTGGATGATGACTGATAACTCCCAGAACCAAAATCCCCTTCTGGTTTCGGTTTCACTGCTATTTCTAGTTGATTTTTTCTTTCTATTTTTTGTGCCTTCTGTTCTGCTTCTTGTTTCGTGTGTTTGCAGGGCACTGGCGAGAGCAGATCACGGGCGGCAGCTGTGGGTAGCTGAGCCATTGCTCGGTTGGTCGTGCGTGATCTGGAAATGCGGTGGTGGCTTCACGTGAGTCTGCAGTCGGCTCGGGAATCACAGAGGGCTGGGAACCGTTGGATCGTGGAGCCAGATCCAACGGCCTTCCTGCTGCGGCGCTAGAGGCTGGTGACAAGGAAACCCTAATGGGTTAGGGTTTCTTCAGTTGGGCTGAAGAACTGGGTTGTTGGGAACTGGGCTCGTTTGGTCCAGCCTGTTGTAATCTTAGTTTAATTAGAATTTGTAAAAGACCAAAATAAAACATTAATCAGTATTTAGTTACTTACTTATTTATATATATAAATACTATAATATTTATAAGTACCCAATGTATATACTCGTATGCATCACTAATATAGAACACGTAACCACTATGAAATCCAACATATCATTAATGATAACCCTAACTAACGTGTCCTACGAACTTAGTAATAACCAGAAATTAATCATAAGGATACACATAAGACGTCCCGGACAAAATGAGCATCTACAGATGGATCAAATTCAAAGGTTAAAATTCTCATATATTCTAAATATTTTTATTGATAATTTATTTTTATTTTTAAATTTTATTAGTTCATTTTTCTTTAAAATATTATAAATCGATCTCCTAACATAAATTTCTATATTGATCTCTATTCCTAAGCATTAAAAGAAAAAAAAGAGAAAAAAAAAAGAAAAATAATGTAACCAATGAGTAAGACTCAACATCCCCCTGACAAAATGGGATCAAAAGGACACATTAAGTGAGTGGATGGATCATCCCTTTGACAAAAATCCTCACGAAATTTGCAATCCCTTTGAACCGTAAGCCACATCCTCCTAGCTACAACTACTACACCAAACAAACGAAATTACAAACTAATACTCAATTTAATCCCGGTGGATTAGTTGATATATTTGTTTGAAAGTCCAAATCTAATGTGTTTTAAAATCGTTTTTCAAGATTTAAAATATACCTATAAGAACAACAAAGTTCGATAAATTTAGAGATGGTTTTGGTTAAGGTGGAAACAAAATATAGGTGGGAGATATTAATGCAATTTCAACGCTATTAGCTGCTCACTTAAGTAATGTTTTTAATTAGCAATGATTTCAAATTTTGTTGATAGTGATCTTGATCGGTGGGTAAATCCTCTATATTTTGGAAATTTATATCAAACTCTTTTCTATATGCAAATGTTTTCGGTAAATTATCTCTAAAAACTCAAACACTTCTTGTTTTCACTTTTATTGATTGACGGTGATACTAATTTTTATGTTGGTGATCGATCGTCGATATTTTTTTTATTATCCTCTTATTTTAAATTTTCAATACATCTGCCTTTATAACACGTTTTTCGCTATCTTTTGGAACATTTCCAGTCGTTTGATCATTTTTTCGTTTATTTTTTAAGAGTTGATTCGAGAAATAGTCACGGCTAATAAAGATGATGTTTATATGTTATCATGTCGATCTTCCTTACTTTGGACTCTCGGATTGGATTTAGATACTTGTTTGCGTTCATGGATATTTTTTCATGTCGCTCGACTGTGATTTGCGGTTTTGTCGATGTCCTTTCAATAGCTTGATCTCCTTGTGCAATTTGTTTGCCGATGTGATCAAATATGTTTATATCTATCATTGTTTGAGTTTAAGTTGCTAATTTTGTGTTAACAATTTTAGAAAAATGTTCTAATTATATGCTTAATTTTTTCATTATGATTGTAAATCTCTATTATATTTTAATTTTTTTCATTTTTTAATGAAATTAATGGCTTCTATAAAAGAAACATACACTTTTTATTAATGCAAATCTAATGACACTTTTCTCTGAAATAATTTTCCATTAAACCAAGTTGAAATTCGTAATTTCACTATGTCAGCTGGACATGGCATGACATTTATTTCTGTAAGATAGATTTCGATATAGTCTACAATAGAATAATATTTTTACCAATTAGTAATGTACTGTGTACTATATTCTCTACTAAATTTTACTACTACACTTGTATTGATTTAAAATTGATGAATGAGTGAAAATAGAAGATTGAGACTGATAAATTAAAATATTTTTTATATTGTATAAGCGAATTTATATATATATATATATATATATATATATATATATATATATATATATATATATATAAAAGAGAGAGGGGGCATGATTTGCTCACACTAAGTAAATTTGCTCAGTTTTATATTTTTTTTAAGTTTTTGAATGAGTGGAAATAAACGATTAAGATTAACGGTATGAAATCAAAATATATTTATAAAAAATGAGATAATCTTAATCATTTATTTTTATTCAACCAATGGTCATAGAAAGATATAAAACTAAAATATTACATTTAATTTAAGTGGATTCTAACTCACATATATTTTCTTAAAATTGATAAAAGAAAATAATTCCCATTAGGAATGGACTGATGGAGTGGATGGAGGTAGTGCCCTGAAAATTTCAAATTATCATATATTTTAGATTTTTTATATTTTTTATTGATAATCTATTTTTCTATCTTATGACTTAATAATTCGTGTCCCTTCTAAAATTTTAGAAATCCATACTTTTAACATAAACTTTTACATATATCGTTATTATAATATATAAGTACAAAAAAACCATAAAATTATTTTAATATATTTATAAAATAGGAACTTATGTGATTGAGATAAGAATCTTTTTAACCCTTCAAATTTATACCATGTTAAGAAAATTCATAATATTACCAAAAATATCCATTTACTCAAATGCATATGTTCAGTAAATATTTAATACGTCTATTTAATAACTGACCTGTTATTTTTGTATTTCAACCAAATATATTACTAAAATACAAACTAACAATAAATAAAAGAAATTCTAAAAAAAATGCTAAGCTAGCAAAAGAAAAATCCCACTTCTCAATCTCGAAAAAAGCCCAATAAAGTAGGTGGCGCGAAAACAACTTCCTTTCTCCGTCTTCTCATTCAACTGAAATACAGTTCCCCTTTCCCATTTTTTTTTCAAAACCTTTTTTTTATTTTCTTTTAATTCCTCGAATTCATCGCTGTCTGTTTTCTGCTTTTTTTTTCCTTGTTAAATCTCTCTTTCCTCTCGCAAGAAACTGATCAAGTCAATAGGCTTTTCCATCTCCCGCCGGAATATTCGTTCTCCAATCATCCTCCGGTTACCTGACCTCTTCTCTCCGGCGGTCAATCTTTCGATTCCTTTCTAACTGATATTTCGACGAATTCTCGAATTTCTCGAGGTTGATTTTTCTTTGATTGAATCGTTTTGGAAGATATTTTTGAGATCGATAAAAAACAAGGTGAGATTTGTGTCGTTAGTAATCTACAGCTTTCTGTTTTGATTTGTTTCTTGCTTTGTAGATCACTCGGATTAGAATATAATAAAAGTAAACAAATAAAATTAGTTTTAATTTATTCTCTTTTTTATTGTTATTTTTAGTAGTTTGTTTTAAACGAATAATTTCTGCAACTTTGTAACTGAGAGATATGCATAAAACAGTTTTTTTTCACGGTATTTCTGTCTTCAATTTTGGAGACATAACTCTGTCAAAGTCAGACCCTATATAGTTTTGGATTTTTTTTTTCATTGAAAAAATTAAATCGCAGTGAAATTATTGTAATTTTAATTTTAAACCTTTATTTTTCCTGTGATTTCCATCAATTTCCGTTCCTCAATCTGGAGATACAAAACAAAAAATTATACAGACGGCAACATAAAATAATTTAGAAATAAAAGTAAAAAACGATATTAATTATAGGGAATCAAGTACGTCTATGTTTTTATCTGTATATTCACGATTTTAAAATTTATATAAAAGATTTAAACTACTATTTAAAGTTTTCACTGTGAATTCATGGGGATGGACACTGGTCTTCCTTGCACGTGGTGCTCCATCTCTTTTCCCATATCTTCACCAACATTAGCACTACAAAAACTTCAACCTTGATCTCTTCTCATCCCAATTATTCATTTTCTCAAACCGATTCGGATACAAACAGACAATCTTACATGATTATATCATTTGTTTAACTGCATTTTTAGTTTTTGGTTTTTATGTTAATTTTACTGTCATTTAGTAGACAAATGATTCGCACGTGTGATCCCGGGTTAAAAACCCATATGGTCAATTTATGTATTTTTATGGGAAGATAGGAAAGATGAGACTTTTTCAAAATGAAAATTGATGCAATTGTTTGTTGTTATCATTTCCGTTGAATTCCTATTCATGGAAAGCAGGTGAGAAGGAAGGGAAGAGGCCACGGTTGGCTGGCTGTTTATTTATTTCTGTGAATGAAAATCAGTGAATTTCATTGTGATTTTGGTTTTTCCAGCCCAACTGACCATGCATTCCCGTGACTAAGTTGACGTATTACCATTACAAAATTTGGACCATTACAGCTAGAAGGTACAAGTATAGTTTTGACATAAACATTTTGAAAAAGATTTTTTTTTCCTTTTTATGTATTTGAAGAACTTATACATACATACATACATGTATGTATATAAATAGGTGTGTGTCTTCTTTCACTCTCTCTCCTACCCGCCTTTCTTCTTGCTGTCTTTTTGTCCTACACCCTTACCACCAGGAAACAAAAACCGGTGGAGATTTTGGCAGTATAGTTTTCTCAAATCTTCACATAGGGGACCTCTTAGTGTATTGCTTTTGCAATTTTAGTTTGATTTAACCAAAAGCTTTTGCAATTTTAGTTTGATCTGCTTGGATTTGGTCTTTCTTGATTAATAAGCTATGCCCATTTCGGTTAATTTCTTGTAACTCTCTAATCCTTCATCAATCAGATCTGGACATCTATAAAGATGTTTCTTTTTTCTCCTATGGTATTGATAATCATACCTTTACTTTCTGCCATTCTGTAAGCATCTAACTTTTGGTTTATGCATTTGTGGCAGATTTATTGCAGGGGAAAGTATCTTCTTTTTGACCGGCTGGCGTTATTCCGGTTATATGTGGGGTTCATGTAATGGTTAGACTGTTAAATGTAGTTTAGTTTCATTTATGGAAAATCCCATCAATGTGGTCTAGTTTGGAATGTTTGGATGGATATATGTGAACCAAAGCGACGATTGCAGAAGCTTGCTGCTGTTGCTACGGCGAGGTCACCCCTTGTTTCTGCTGAAAAAAACAATGCATCACTCACAACTCGACAACCTGGAGCCAGGGAAGTTAGTTCGAGGCGTTGTCCATCTCCAATTACTAGAACAACCTCTATTCCTTCCCAGTTGGTGCAAAATAGAGCTGTTTCGGCTGAGGGGAAACGCCCCTCCACGCCATCTTCACCTCGAAGTCCATCCACGCCGGTTCAAGAATCATCAGTTTGTGTGCAGATATCATCTAGAAGGCTATCAAATGGCCGCACACCTGAAAGTTTATGGCCATCTACCATGAGGAGTCTTAGTGTTTCATTTCAGTCTGATACAATTTCAGTTCCTGTTAGCAAAAAGCAAAAAGAAAAACCGGCTAGTAATGTCTCATTGGATCGTACTTTGAGACCTTCTCCAAATGTGGTTCATAGACAACAGTCTGAAAAATCTGCTTTATCGCGTAAGCCTACTCTAGCGAGAAAGACAAGTCCTCTTAAAGGGAAGAATGCGCCTGATCAATCTGAAAATGCTAAACCAGTTGAAGGTTTACTTGGCCGAATAATAGATCAGCATCGGTGGCCTAGTGGAAGTCATGAGAAACTGTCTTCCAATTCATTGAATAGAAGTGTAGATCTGGGTGATATTAAAATTGTTAAAAGTTTATCTGCACCAGTTCCAGGAATCGGGTTATCTTCACTGAAGAGAATGGCAATTTCCGATAGTTTGAGTATACCTCTAAAGAAATCTGCTAATGACGCTGCCAATTTTTTATCACTCGATCGAATCGGTCAGATAGGGCCTGAGGCAATTCCAATTGATGATAAGTCTGTGCGGGTATCTGGACCTGCAAGGATCCTTTCGTCAAGTTCTTTGGACAAAATGACACTGACAACTTATGCACACAAATCTCTGTCTTTGTCTGCTCCTGGATCACGACCTCAGACACCAAATAGAACTTCTGTTTCTAGGAGTGCCAGTCCTTCTCGGGCAAGAACTTCCACTCCACCTTCAAGAGGATTCAGTGCAAATCCAAGGGGAGTCAGTCCATCTCGTACAAGGACATCCACCTTTTCTAGTCAATCCCACAGCTCAACTTCAGTTCTTAGTTTTATTGCAGACTTTAAGAAGGGAAGAAAAGGTGCAAGCTACATAGATGATGCTCATCAACTTCGGCTTCTTTACAATCGTAACTTGCAGTGGCGATTTGCTAATGCCAGGGCTGAAGCTGTACTGTATATTCAGAAAATTACCGTGGAGGTAGATTTCTTCTCAAAATGATCAACATTGCATCAACTAGCATTGGTCTATGTTTTGATAAGGGAGGCCTGTGATGGTTAGAATAGGAAAACTATACTTTCGTGATGCATTTATGCAATAATTTAAAAGAAAAAGTGATTGTTAGATTCTTTGAATCACTTTTCATTATGATTGGTCTCCTACAGTGATGAATGTTTTAACTCCATATATGCACATGAGCTTTAGAAATGGCATAGATAGTGGATTGCCTCTTCTATATTATGTTTTTATCAATGAAATTTGATCTGTTGTTGCAGGAAACTTTGTACAATGTCTGGAATTCTACTTTGGGTCTGCGGGATGCCATGATCAAGAAAAAGATCAATCTCCAGCAATTGAAGTTAGAGCTCAAGTTGAACTCGGTTTTGCATGATCAAGTAACAGTTGCCTCTATTTCTCCTTTCATAGAAAATTTTTATTCCCCTCATACAGGTTCAATGTTAGAAGTGCTTCTATATTTAAGTTTAAGATTATATTAATAATTTATGTGCATTTTCAATTGTGCTACTCCCGGTGAAGATACAGGGAGGTAGTTGGCGCTTACTTATCTTCTTACACCTTCAGGTCTAAATTTTTATGTTTTAGGGAAATGAGGATTCAAACTTGAGTCCGCCTTTAAGAGGAATGATGGAAGTCACTACGCTATGTATTGGTTCATTCTATAGGTCTAAATTTTATAGCAATAGAATGTCGGCATGCCATTTTGAAGTATCATTTAGATGAATAAAAGGCTTATTTTATAGTTAAATGGTTATAGGAAATAATATATTGCATTGTTATGGGCCTCCAAGCTTCTTAAATTTGGCAGTGGTTTTGGTTATAATGAACTATAGAGGTCTTGTGGAATTTTAAATGCTAAACTTCTAGCTGTGGTAGCCTTCTAATGGGACAAAGAAAGTCAAATCTCATTGATACTTGGAAAAACCCACAGGAGGCTCTACAGCGTGTGTTTTTCCCCAAATTCTGCATTTGATGATTTAGAAGGTTTTCTGTGGATAAAGTCCATATTTTGGTGCTATATACAGGCACTAGTAATTTACTCCTGATATCAACACTTAAAAATATTTCAAGTTTGAACTTTTCCATGTTGGTTTTGGGAACCTTTTTAGATTCAAATATATTTTGGTGGATAAGGCAACCTTTAAAATTAAGACCTATAATGATTGGATGGAGGCTTGGTAGAACAGGTTTCCATTAAATGTGATAAAATATCATAACTGACTCCTTGTTGCATAAACATGAAAGGGTGCATAAGAAGACCGGGTGTAAATTGCATCAGTATATTTGGCAAGGATTTTCCTTGCCAACGTGGTCTGGTCCGGCCCATGATACCTCTTTTCCGAAGTGACCTTCACTTGATAACTATTATGTTGGTCTTTTAAAAGTACACCACAGTTGCAATTTTTGGATTATACTTTTTATGTTGATCAATATTGAATAGATTGGAGAGAAACAAATTTATTATCTACATGAGGATATATTTCATGTCTCACATTCCGAAAAATTGCTTATGCCCAACAGGTTATATTTTCAAAAGTTTGATTTAAGGTGTTATCTTTAATCATCGTGGAAACTTCTTACCTAAAAATTGGAAAAGCTAAATATTCTCTCTCATTACAAGAATATTTTTTTATGGTCGGCATATTAGTATAGATTCTTTCTTATCTAAAGCATATGTATATGATTCATGCAGATGGGATATCTTAACAATTGGGCATTACTTGAAAAAGATCATGCAAGTTCTTTAGCTGGAGCAGTAGAAGATCTGGAGGCAAGCACTCTGCGTCTTCCCGTAACTGGAGGGGCAAGGGTCAGTTCAATACTAAAATACTTTGAATTTATATCAGAAAAGATAAATATTGACATCATTTCTGGATTTTGTACTCATCAGGCAGACATTGAATCATTGAAAGATGCTATTTCCTCTGGTGTTGACGTGATGCAGGCTATGGGATCATCCATTTCTTATTTACTCTCAAAGGTGTCTTTCCTTCCAACGCCAGTTATTCAACTTGTTTCTGAACATAAAGGCCTGACCTTATACGCAGAAAGAACAAAATTCAATGTTGTTGTCTTTACTTACCACTCTAGTTATCTGAATTTAAATTTAAGATGTCAAATATCAGTATATCTTCCAAGTAAATTGTAATTTTGGTTCAAGTAGAAGTTTCATCTCTGTTTATTTTACTCTTAGGTGTCGAGACAAGTGCTTCTCGAAATTTCAGCTTTGATGTTATATGTAAATTTTAAAGGAATTTTCTTCTTCCCCAGACCCCTTTTTTTGTCTAATTCTATGGTGAGAGCATACATCTTTGCTAATGAATCTAAATCCACATCGACCACTTGGATTTTGTCCCATGATGCTCCAATGTGTGACAGATGGTTGATTCTGATATTAGCTTGCAGTTTTTTTGCTGATATATCTTTATTTCATTCAGGAAGCTTAACATGTATTTCAATATTATACATGCTTTAGGTGGAAGGAATAAAGAATTTGGTTTCTGAGCTTGCTGCAATAGCTGCACTAGAGAAAAGCATGCTTGATCAATGTGAAGCTCTCATGGCTTCAACAGCGGCTATGCAGGTAAGGACACATATAATGCTTGCTTAAGTTCAAGTTCTTGGATCAAATATGACTATATCTTGACTTGACCAACTCCTCTAAGATTCTTCTGCAATGACTGGTAAATATTTGTGTATGTAATGAAAACTCTGACTAAGCATGAGAATAGGATTTAAAGCTATATCTTGACTCGAGTGCAAGTGTGGATACATGTGACATTGTTGCTTTGATTATTTCTAAGCTTTTCTTAGAGCATATCCTCATATCATGTTTAGATATGCTTTGATTATTTATTAAAATAGAAATGAAGAGTCAAAGCAACAATAGCTCGAAACCGACTCAATCATTGTAAATATGGCCAATCCATCCCTTGTATGCCATCACTATCAAACCGGCTGGCTAATGTCGGCTCAACCTAGGCATGTACCAACTGTTATAGAATAGATCTCTGCAAATTGCAAACTTTTGTTTCTATTTTCTAATGCATATAGTTGCTTTGTCTTATTTCATATATATATATATATATTACACACACATTTGACAAGGTTTTTGGTGGTGTAATTGAACAGTCAGAAGAGTACAGTGTTAGGTCTCATCTCATACAAACAAAACAAGCTTTGGGGAGAAATAAGCAGGCAACGATGGCAACGAAAACATTATTTCCATGGCCATGAACCAGCTGGTAAGCTCATAGTAATCTGCCAATATATTATCCTTCAAAGTGAGAGAAATTTATCACAAAATCTGCTCTGCCAGCCCCAGTAATTGTAAAGTTTCCCCTTTTTTATTTTTTATTATTCTTTTAACTTGAATGGTATTTTTTTTCTTTTTTCTTTTTTACCCTTCAAAAGATTGGAGTTTTTGGCTCTGATCTTTTTCTTACATGTAATTTTTGTATTACGCATATTAAAAGAGGAAAAAAATACAAAGGAAACAAAATATTTGATATGAATGACCAACCTTTAAAAAAGAGAAAATGACGGTTTCAACTTTGTTGAACTATATTTTGATATAACAATTCAAAGACAAAATATTTTTGGACTTGAATTGAATTTATTCAAAGTTTTCAAAGCTTTAAAAAATAATTCAAAGTCCTTTAACAAATGGATTTGAGCACAAAATGATTTTTTGGACAAACAATACCGATATCGTTCTTACAATATTGATATCTCATGAACGGTATCGATATTGTTCATATGATACCGATACCAAAGGTAAGGGAAGTATCAATACTCACTATGTAGTATAGATACTTCCAGCATTGCTCAAATTCTAGAATGCAAAAATGGTACCGATGCCCAAAGGGGTACCGATACTACTTTGTATAGTTGTATCGATACCATAGGCATAGTATCAATACCATCAGGTCCCAATGGCTAGTTGATTTAAAAATAGCAAAGGTAGTACCAATACTCTCTTTAGGAGTACATATACCTTCCGTACTGGACAGTTTTATTTTGCACAAAAATTGATTCCCAAAGGCTCCAAAACGCTTCTAACGGCTAGAAACATCCATAACAACATTCCAACATATAAATACAAGTTCAAGACACTTGAAGAAGGGTTAGAACACTAATCCTAGGAATCAAACACAAGAGAAGAATACATTTTTATTTTTTTATTCTCTTGTAAATATTGTGTTTTAGTGAGCTTCAATTTATAAACACCTACCTTGTAAGGGTTTTCTTGTTTACACTATCTTTCCTTTTGTAAAAAGGGTTTGGTTCTAGTTTAGCCAAGTGAAAAATTAGGGAGTGTAAAGGTTATCTCTTGATCCTTTAAAAAGAAAGAACAAATTACTGAATTTGTTAGAAAATCCTAAGTGAGGAGCTTAGGTAGTGGAAGTAGACTTGGTTGATAAGTCGAACCACTATAAATCCTTGTACCATATTTCGCTATCTTTTTCTCTCTTTACTCCCTAATCAAATTATTGTCAATTCACTCTCTTGCAACTTTTCGGTTATCCATTCGAGCTTCCACAAATCCTAACAATTGGTATCAGAGCTTGACTCGTTAGAAGAGTTCACATCCAACAAAGAAATGACTTCAACATCTGGTGCCTATTACATTGAAGATTCACAATTGGTCAAGAAGTCACCTTACTTCAATGGAGCAAATTATGTCTATTAGAATAATAGGATGATGCTCTTCATTCAAGCCAACGATCTAGGAGCTTGGAACTCAATCATGAAGGGTTACTCCACTTCACCTGGTGAGATGGACGATTGGAGTGATAGAGAAAAGAAAAAGTTCCAGCTAAGGCTATGCACATTCTCTTTTGTGCATTAGGCCCATATGAAACAGTCTCCTCTGTTCCAATGCCAAGGAGATATGGGAAAAGCTCCAAGTCACTCATGAAGGAATCGATGAAGTGAGAGAAACCAAGATATAGCTACGAGAATTTCAAGATAAAACTGGATGAAGACATAAAAGCTATGACGGATAGATTTTCCATGATTGTCAACGGTCTCAAGGGATTTGGAGAAGTAATCCCTAATGAGAAGCTTATGAGGAAGATGATGTACTCTCTTCTAAAGTCTTGGCAAGTAAATAAAACAACGATTATCGAAGCTAAAAACCTAAAGTCTCTCACTCTCGACGAGCTTATTGGTTCTCTTCTCACTCATGAGTTGATGGTGAAGGAAGAGGAAGATAATGAATAAAAGAATGACAAGAAGAAGGAAGAAAAGAAGAAAGAGGTAGGCATTGCCTTCAAATCCAATAATGAGAGCTATGAAAATTCAAATGAATAAGTGGATGAAGAAGACAATGAAGAAGAAGAAGAATAGATGGCCAAGCTCTTCAGAAAGTTCAAGAGATTCATGTCTTCCAAGGAAGTGAAACATGAATCGACCAAGAATAAGAGTCTCCCGGTGTGCTTCAATTGTCAAAGAACGGGGCATGTCAAGTATGAATGTCCTCTAATGAAGAAGAAGAGACCAAGCAAGAAAAAGGCATTTGTGGCATCTTGGAGTGATAAAGATGACTCCAATGATGAAGATGAAGTAGCCAACATATGCCTCATGGCCATCCAAGAATATTCAATGGTATCTTCTAACTCAAATGAATTAAATTCACATTCTTTTGATGAGTTACAAGATGCTTATAATGAGTTTTATTTGGAATTTGAGACCATGAATTCCAAATATAAGAAATTAATTTCAAAACTTAAAATTGAAAATGATTTGGTTTTGAAAGCAAAAGTTGATTTTGAAAATCAAAATAAAATTTTGAAAATCAAAATGAAATTTTGAAAAATGACTTAGAGCTTTCAAAAGTCAAAATCAATGATTTAGAAAAAGAAAATTTTGATTTGAAAGTTAAGCTTGATAACTTAACAAAAGAAAAAGAATTAATTTCTAAAAATAACTCATTATGTCTAAAAATGACAAATGTTCACATTGTCATTTTTATGGTAATTTGGAACATACTTGTCCCATAAAGAAAAGAAAATCTTTTAAAATTAGACAAGTATGGGTTCCTAAGGGAACAAGGGACATTGAAACTAGCGTTCAAGGATCCAAAGCAATTTAGGTACCAAAATCTACTTAAATGTCTCTTGTAGGTGTGTGGGAGCAATGGTGATGAAAATGAAGAAATCAAGATGCTCTAGCCACACTAAAAAATGAATGTGTAACCTCTAAGCTTAAAAGCTTTTTAATTTTGCATAATTGGTTGCTCATTTGTTTCTTTGGCATGCATGAGTTTTGATCTTAAATGGTTATGTTTTGTTTTTCATCTCATGTATGTTAAAAAGGTGTTATGATGAACATTTTAAATCTTTTAATGATTTTTCATAATTTTTAGTTCTTAATAATGAATTTTGGTCAAAATTAGTTTGAAATGCAAATGATATCTCTCTAACAATTTATATTAATTTTTCAAATGCTTTGATTCTATAAATTTTAATTTTTGACCTAAATTTTAAATGATTATGCATGTGGTTTAAAATGCAAATGATATCTCTCTAACAATTGATATCAACTTTTTCAAATGTGTAACATTTTAGGAAAGCTTTATGCATATGCACTTAATTTAAATTTGGTATTGCATAAAGTATTTTAGACTTTGATATATTGAATTTCATGTGCTACTAACATGCTTGTTATTTTTTAAAATTAAATTTTGTCTAAGTGGCATGCTTTTAAAGTATAATTTTTATTTGGAATACACTTTTTGAGGGGGAGCTTTGATTTTTCAAATGTTTTAATGTCAAGTTTATCACTTACTCTCCAATGTTATTTTAGAAGTTTAAAGTTGAATTATTTTTGATATAGCAAAAAGTGGGAGAAATATGAGTTTGAAAAATTCAATTTCTTAATGAAAAAGGGGGAGCTGAACACTTTTTATACTTTTTCCAACAATTGGTATCCTTTTCATAAATATTTTACTAAGGGAGAGTTTTTCCAAAAACAATTTTTCAAATATTTTGTTATACAAAAAAGGGGAGATTGTTGAACTATATTTTGATATAACAATTTAAAGGCAAAATATTTTTGGACTTGAATTGAATTTATTCAAAGTTTTCAAAGCTTTCAAAAATAATTCAAAGTCCTTTAACAAATGGATTTGAGCACAAAATGATTTTTTGGACAAACAGTACTGTCGTAACCGGTTTTTGCCCGGGTACGAATTTTTACTTTACTTGGAGGGAAGAGTGATGTGAATAAATGGTTTAAAAATGTTTTGGGAGTCGCCATCGGCCTTTTGGGTCAAGTAGGTCGAATACCTAAAAATTATCTTTTAAAAGAGTTTTTAAGAAAACATCAGTTAAAAGATAAATTGGTTTGCGTTTTAACCAAAAATTTGTTCTTTTTAATAATAAAAAGGGATTCATGGTCGATTGCGTTTGGGGAAGGATCATAATCTTGTTATTTCAAATTAGAATCTTTAGGTTTTATATTTTATATTTTCTTAAAATTATATTAATAAATTTGAAATAACATGATTATGAATTAAATATATTTTTGAATTCTTAAATTTCCAATAATAGAGACAATTTATAATTAATGAGTACTAATTTTGGGAGTTGTAGGGGTGCCAATCATTCCCCAAACGTAATCGACCATAAATCCCATTTTATTATTAAAAAGAACAAATTTTTGGTATTATATTTTTGGAATAACACTTTTAGTACAGGATTATGAATTAAATATATATTTTTGAAATAACACTATTAGTACATATCTTTTTAATAATTCAAATTAGAATCTTTAGGTTTTATATTTTATATTTTCTTAAAATTATATTAATAAATTTGAAATAACAGGATTATGAATTAAATATATTTTTGAATTCTTAAATTTTCAATAATAGAGACAATTTATAATTAATGAGTACCAATTTTGGGCATTGTGGGGGTGCCAATCCTTCCCCAAACGTAATCGACCACGAATCCCTTTTTATTATTTCAAAAATATAAAACCAAAAATTTGTTCTTTTTAATAAAAAAATGGGATTCGTGGTTGATTGTTTAGGGAATGATTGACACCCCCACAACGCCCAAAATTAGTACTAATTAATTATAAATTGTCTTTATTATTGGAAATTTAAGAAATAAAAAATATATTTAATTCATAATCCTGTTATTTCAAATTTTTAATATAATTTTAAGAAAATATAAAATATAAAACCTAAAGATTCTAATTTGAATTATTAAAAAGATATGTACTAATAGTGTTATTTCAAAAATATATTTTAATTCATAATCATGTACTAATAGTGTTATTTCAAAAATATAAAACCAAAAATTTGTTCTTTTT